CGTATTGATTGGTAAAAGCAACCTAGACGGCTTCCCTGCACTATTCTCTCCCTGATTAGCTTCGATTCGAGGTTCTTATTTGCACTGAACGAGGATGGTCTAGTAGTAATTTCATTTCGTGTTCTGCAAAGCGTATATTTTAGGTTAGATTGATGGTTTGCATCATGCATTATTTCGAATATTCCGACCGATCTGATTTGATTTTTGGGATGTATCTATGCATTATTCATGTTTACATTCTTTTATGAGTGCAAAACACCATATCGAACAGTACCATTTATTATGCTGTGTCTTTGACACGAGATTTTTCTCCGTCCTGTTATTTGGATTTCCTAAAAATAAAATCATCGTCCTGAGCTTAGATTTGGATAAACGATGCACCAATATAACAGTCAGGCTACCTGATGATATCTTACTTAGAAAATTCAACAAGTTAGTGTATATATGCATCTTAATTTTATGTATATGAGTTTGACCCAGAGAAATAGGGTTTCCAAAATCATCACCTCCTGCATTAATGGACAAGAAGTCAACTTCTCGTAATATAAAAGTTGTAAATTTAGTATGAAGGAGAGTGAAGAGAAGGCAAAGGTAGGGGGAAAATTTCTTGATAAAATAGATAATTTATAAAAAAAAATAGAAACGAATGAACATATGAACTAAGGGGTGAAATAATTAGGGTAGCTTAAAAATATAGAAATTGAAATGATAATATATAACAACAATATTGACAACAAGTAGGTTGGGAGACGTCAAGCAGGCCTGGAAATAAGTGTGGAACCCTAACCAACAACGGATATGACAAGCTGCCAAAAAAGGTTAACAAAGCTTTTACGCCAGATCATTTTGGTGTAAATGGTGCAATACACCACTTATAACACCTAGTCAGCTTAGCATATTTTCTGTACTACACGTCAGCTATCTTGCGAATATATATATATATATATATATATATATATATATATATATATATATATGGCCTCCTTCATTCCTAATTCCTGGTCTAACTTGGCTTGCGATCAGCAGAAAAGCGCCCTGAGAACTTTATCTCATAATTATTAAATATAATCAGTCGCTACTCCAGGCGAAAAGTTAAGGTCCTTGAATGCTTTAATGTTTGTCGATTGACTTTTGTAGCTACCAATCGAAATGACTACTCGAGCAGAACATAGTAATCTACACAGATCACATTCATTAGAGATCCAGTTAGTTCCACCATGAAAATAAGAGTAGATTGCTGATACATCCAAATAAGGAGTTTTTAAAATAATAGAGCGATCTCTCTGGATTCCTGTGTTTATTGGGCGGCATTATATTAGGTGTGGAAACGTTATTTATATCATGTAGTGGTATACTTTTACAAAGATAACACAATTGCTGAAACATAAACATTTATTATTATACTTAATTCTGTCAATAATTGTTAAATTGTACTCCTTTTTTATTTTTACTAAAGACTATCTCTCGAGCTCCGAGCGTGTTTTTACCACTCCGCTCTTCTCCCCGCTCGTTGTTAGCCGCTTGTGTACACTAGCCTCGATATTATTTCGATATCAAGAGGCTAGTAATAAATATACTTCCTCATCCAGAATAATATTCCCTTTGACTTCTGGATTATCGGGATTTACATTAGTAATCACTCGAAGAAATATATTTGTATCAGCTTACTGTAATCACATCAGTAAAACAACAGATATAGTTTTGGATTAGGTTTTTTGGCCATGATTTATGTTTAGGGACATAATTGGTTACTTTTCAGGCTTCAGGGTAAGCATTGGCGTCTAGGAATGATGTAAATGTAATATTGACAGTATATAATCCAGCCATTTTAGAAGAGTGTGAATGTTATTTCATCTTCATCAGAACTTGCTTTGTGTTTGAGGAATACAATAGCTGCATTAATGTTTATCAAATCATAGTCAATGGTTCTGAGTTTGTTCTTACTGATAAAGTTAAGAATAATAAAGACTTATGTTCTAGTTGAGGTGGAACTATTTAGAAGTTCACAAGAAGTGACTTGGTAATAATATGTCTCTCTGTTATACAGTATATAATGAATGCTGTAATCTGCGTTCTTTTATATGAGTCTTTCAAGCAAACGACAGAAGTTTTGGGATGTACATGCAGTAGCGATCGTGCTACGTTCATCTACTTGTTTATGCCTTTCATAGTGATTTGTCAAACCCTCAAGTATAGAGTAGATTTGGTACAGGTTGCTGAAGTCTTTTGATGCGGAATATCTCCGTTTTGGATTACTTGGTTTAGACCTGGTGTAGGATCCAGACTGAGGTTTGGACTGAGGAATAACTGTCTAGGTAGTTTAGATACGCGTCTCGACCAGCTGGAATCAAAACAAGTGATTTGGGCAAATAACTGCTCTAATATTCATCATGAATATAAATTTGCTTCATTACCTAAATAATATTACCGCGACTATTCCACCAAAAATTGTTCAATTATTCAAATAAATGGTAATCTATGAGATGCTGGAGAAAACTTGTAGCTCAGGTGGATGATTGTGGTGGTGTTTCGTTCTCTGAGCTGGTTGTTTTGGTTGTGGAGCTTTCATTGTTCTTCTGAACAACATCATCAGCACGAACTTCAGATAGAAGTCAGACTTGAACGTAACAAATCTCGATGTACGACTCCAAAAAGTATTTCATAATGGTAGGCGTGTAAAACAAGCTTATCGAATCAGGAACTTAATCAGGAACAGTCCCACTAAAAAGTTGTGCTTTGATGTCTCCAGATAGATAGATGAGACGACCACCGATTCGATTAAAAGGGCGTACTTTGAAGGTGGTACCTTTTTTTCACGTGTTTTATCTTTTACGTTTTCCGATCGTTTTACTCTAGTTCAACGGAACATATAAACTCATCTCTTACAACCACTCCTCGGGTGTTAATGATTTTCTACGGTGGCAGTTCCAATGGGTTCCAATAGGTGCACTCCTGTACTCGTTTCTCCCAGTCCCAGGTCCAAACAAATCAAAAGAGGACAAAAATTCTAGGAGAAAGCGGTCTTATTTAAATAAAAACATGGAAATACAAAGCATCACCTGCAATTAATGCTCCTTCCAGGTTACAATTACTCCGAAGAGTATCCAACAAGGATGAGTAAGTGGCGTTAAGTCCAACTGCAACCGGATCAATCCAAATATGGCTGTAGCCATATTAAAGGTCAAATTTAAACAACATATATACAATCAGCC